ATTTCAGCGGTAGAGGGCGCCTTAAGCCCATTTTTACCACGAGTCTCCCAGGGCTTCCAGGATGACATGGTGCTCCAGCCAGGATATACCTGATGATCACTCAAGGTAGGGGTACCCTGACTGTGAGAAAGTTGGCCAACAACCCGAACCTGGAAGCCTGTCCCATTTGCCTAGACAGATGCATGTTTCCCAGCAGCTCCCTGCACAGATGGAATAGTTCCCCAACTGCAGCAAAAGGAACTGGAGCTGAGACTGGGACCCCTTAAATTCTGCTGTAGGATGGAGGCTGGTGAGCTTGCCCCAGTGGCCCACATCCATGCTTCCCAGTAATTACCTGCATGGATGGGACAGTTTACCAGGGAGAGGGGCTGGAGCCGAGTCTGGGCCCCTTCACTGCTGTGGAACAGAGGCTGGCAAACTTACCAGGGTAGCCCAGGCAGGCAAGCTTCCCCCAGAAGCTCCCTGCACAGGTGGGACATTTCCCTGACTGCAGTGAGAGAGGCTAGAGTGGACAGTGGGATCCTTTAGGACCTGCTTTGGGACAAAGGCTGACAGGTCCTTCAAGGAGGCTAAGACAGACAAATCATTCCTGGGTTGTGGATATGGGTAAATCTTCCTCTGGGTCTTTGTGCAAGCAGTAATAAACTGGGCCCATGGCTAGGTGACCAAGGGGTTGGAGCCAGTTTACAGGGTAACTTTCAGATCTGCTGCCAAGACCAATGCCAGTGGGCAGATGAAACTTCCTGCTTAGGCACTAGTGTGCTTGATTCCTCCTAAGTCTTTTTTTTTTTTAAATTAGTATTTTGGAAGGTTTGATTTTTGTTTTGTTATTTTTAATCAAATACATTTATATATCTTAAAAGTTCTTTATATACTACCTTTTTTTCCTGCCATAAACAATACTAAACTGTTTCTTCCCTTTTCCTATATCATTTAATTTTAGTTACAAGTATTATCTTAATGCCAATCACTATGTTCATAAATGTACTTGGGTTTATCTGAGAGCTTCAAGTTGTAACTCTTTTTTCCAAGCAATACTTAAGAAGTTAGTACACTTAGTTTTACCTTTCTTGTAACTTTTTTGGTTTTTAAAAATAATATGTGTTATTTTTACATCCCTTGAGCTTGTATCATTTTTATACCATTTTGTCAGTTTTATCTCCTTTTTAAAAAAATTGACACTATTTTTTAGAGCAGTTTTAGGTTCACAGCAGAATTGAAAGTACAAAGTCCCCATATACTTGGCTGTCCCCACACACGCACAACGTCCCCCCCCCCATTAACATCCCCTACCAGAGTGGTACATTTCTTAAAATTAATAAACCTCCATTGACACATTGTCTCCCAAAGTTCATAGTTTACATTAGGATTTATTCTTGGTGTTGTACATGCTGTGGATTTTGACGAATGTGTAATGACATATATCTACCATGATAGTATCATACAGAGTAGTTTCACTGATCTAAAAATCCTCTGTGCTCTGCCTGCTCATCCGTTTCTCCCCAAAAACCCTGGCAACCACTGATCTTTTTAACATCTCTGTAGTCCTGCCTTTTCCAGATTGTCATACAGTTGGAATCATATAGTGTGTAGCCTTTTCAGATTGGCTTTTTTCACTTAGTAATGTGCATTTAATCTTCTTTTATGTTTTTTCATGGCTTGTTAATTCATTTTCTTTTAGCACAAAATGATATTCCACTGTCTGGACGTACCACAGTTTATCCATTCACCTTGTGAAGGCCATCTTGGCTGCTTCTAAGTTTGGGCAATTATGAGTGAATACAGCTGCTATAAATGTGTGTTTGCAGGTTTTTGTGTGGACATGTTTTTGACTAATTTAGGCAAATACCAGCAAGTGTGATTGCTGGATCCCATGGTAAGAGTATGGTTGGCTTTGTAAGAAATTGCCAAACTATCTTCCAAAGTAGCTTTACCATTTTGCATTGTCACTAGCAATAAGTTAAAGTTCCTATTGGTTCACATTCTCTTTAGCATTTGATATTACCAGTTTTAATGCCCCAAAGGGGGATTAAAAAACTATATTGCCATCACAGTTACAACACCACTAACTTGTGTTCTGAGTTTTGGCCATTCTAGTAGGTATGTAGGGTATCTCATTGTTTTTTTTGTTTTGTTTTTTCTTTATGAGATTGAGTCTTGCTCTGTCGCCCAGGCTAGAGTGCAGTGGCGCGATCTTGGCTCGCTGCAACCTCCACCTCCCGGGTTCAAGTGATTCTCTTGCCTCAGCCTCCTGAGTAGCTGGAATTACAGACACGTGCCACCATGCCTGGCTAATTTTTGTATTTTTAGTAGAGACAGGATTTCACCATGTTTGTCAGGCTGGTCTCGAACTCCTGACCTCGTGATCTGCCCGCCTCAGCCTTCCAAAGTGCTGGGATTACAGACGTGAGCCACTGCACCCGGCCATCTCATTGTTCTAATTTGTGGTTCCTTAATGAGATATGATGTTGATTATCTTTTCTTTCTTTCTTTCTTTCTTTTTTGAGATGGGGTCTTGCTCTGTCACCCAGGCTGGAGTGCAGTGGCACAATCTCCGCTCACTGCAAGCTCCACTGCCTCCCAGGTTCATGCCATTCTCCTATCTCAGCCTCCCGAGTAGCTGGGACTACAGGCGCCCGCCACCACGCCCGGCTAATTTTTTTTGTATTTTTAGTAGAGATGGGGTTTCACTGTGTTAGCTAGGATGGTCTCGATCTCCTGACCTGGTGATCTGCCGGCCTTGGCCTCCCAAAGGGCTGGGATTACAGGTGTGAGCCACCGCGCCCGGTGATTATCTTTTCATATGCTTATTTGTTATCTGTGTATCTGTCTTCTCTGGTGAAGTATCTGTTTTGGTCATTTGCCCAGTTTTTGATTGGGTTGTTCTTTGCTCACTGTTGAATTTTAAATGTTCTTTGTATATTTTGGATACAGTAGTTTATCACATAGGTCATTTGCAAATATTTTTTTCCCAATTTGTGTCATGTCTTCTCATTCTCTTGATATTCCCATCTTTTAGTTGTAGTTCTAAAGTTAGCTGTATTTTCTTCTTACCCCAGTCCGTCATGTTACGGCTTCTCCAGTTGTTTTTTTTTTTGTTGTTGTTGTTTTTTAATCTGAAACATTCTGTGGTCCACTCAGGCAAGCTCATAGGAGAGACATTTTCTGAGGTCTTACAGCTTTATAACTTTGTGGTCATATAATTGAAGGACACTTTTGCTGGATATAAAATACTCAGCTCACATTTTTTTCCTTTGAGTATCTTAAAAATGTTACTTCATTGTTTTCTAACATAAATGTTGCCATTGAAATTTGTTCCAGTCTGATTTTTTTTTCCCTTCTAGGTGACTTGGCTTTGTATTTAACTTCATTATTGTGATAACTTTACATATTTTTGTTTCCCATGTTTAAATGATCTGGATTTCCCTGGACTGTTAGGAAGAGGTTCCTATGAAAGAATAAATCAGGATAGCTTTATCAGTTTACATTTGAAGGTCTTTCTCCTCTGTTGTTATTGGAGTATGTGTGTAGCCCCTTTTGTCTCTTAGGTAACCCTTGGTCAAAAAGGTTTTTCTTTTCTAGCGCACTGTTTCTGAGAGCTTTACATGCTTAGCATCCCATCAGAGGATACTTATTTTCTCTTTATAGTATTTTCTGTCAACTGTTCCTTTTGGAACTTTGCCACTCCCTTCTCTCTTTATATCTGATCCTTCTTTCTCACTGTCTTCATTATCTTGTAGTTTTGTTTGAGATTTCAGAGATTTTTGCCCCTTAGGGTGAGACTGTCTGGTGAGGGCTCTTTTTTACATACTCCTCTAAGATGCTTGAGGGTTTAGAGCTTCATAACACTCTTTGCTGCCTATAGGACTGACTCTACAGGGTTTTGCACCCACCTGCAACTTGGAGCTTGTGAAAACCTTTTCCTTTCTCTCCATTTATTTCTTAGATTTGCTGTCCGAGCTTTTTCCAAAGATAGAGTGCTGTGCTTGTGGAGTATTTCTTAGTGTTTTTTGGGTTTTGTTGCTTTGTAGGGTACCTCTGTTGTAGCTTTAATTTCTTGCTGCTTTTGTACATCTGGTGATCAGGCATTGTGAGCAATTTATCCACATTCTCTTAATATTCTGAGAATTATGGAGATTCTCTTTTACTTAGTTTCATTGGGCTCTTCTCATATCCCTGTTGGTATATCTGGTTTTTAGGAATTATCTTTGGGGGATTAAAAGACTATAGTGCCACCATAATTATAAACCACTAACTCGTTATTTTATTAGTTTAATTGTGACTAATATGTAAGGAGCTTAGATTTTTTTTCCCCCCTGTGTTTCAAAGGTTAGGGCTACTTAAGCATACAGAATTGCATATTTTTAACATCTGAATAAGGGAATTTTAAAACATCTATATGTGACCTGGTGAGGAGATGAATATAAATGTAGAATGTGATTTTTGTTAACATTTTTCTTCATTTTAAATGCAAATATACATCATTTATATCTGGTTACATTGTTTAATGGTTATAGTCTCCTAACAGGTATTTTAGATAATTGCAGTATAGTACATGAAGTTACCTGTAAGTAAATAGCTTTTAAAGTAAACATGAAAAAAGTGAATTTTTATTGAAATTAATATGCATAATTCCTTGCTTGATGGAAATAAATATGTATAGCAAAAAGTTAAAGGAAAAAATAATTAAGTCATTTTTTGTTTATTTTCACCTGTAATATATATTTTTATATATTTTATATTATATAATATATAGTTTTAATTTTTGAATATTTTATGAAAGAAATGTGAAAATTTAATTTGTTAGTTGGGATTTTCTGTAATTTTGGACTTGCCTGATTGTCTTCCACATAGCAGGTGCTAGATAAATATTTTCAATGTGATCATTGTAGGAAGCGACAGTATTCATATTTTATAATTTTATTAGTAAAGATTATATAGTCTGCTGAAACTAACTTCCAACAGTGGAGATCCAAAATAAAATTATCAATTTCTCTTAGGAACTGAAGTTAAAAGATGAAGAATGTGAGAGGCTTTCAAAAGTGCGAGATCAACTTGGACAGGAATTGGAAGAACTCACAGCTAGTCTATTTGAGGTTGGTCTATTTACATCTTGGCCAACAGCAGCATCTTGACTTTTATATATTGACAAAATTGTATTTTGAGGGAATCTTGAAAAAGATTTACTTAGCTTCATGTATATTTATAAGTCCTCTAAGCAAAAGAGAAATCTTTAAGCAATGTAGAATTTACAACTTAAAATGATGTGAAAAGAAATAAAAAACAACTATGGGCTACCAGTATCAGATTGTTTAAAAATGTATGTGTGCAAAGAAAGGAGGCAAATTTTAGTATTGATTTTTTATTTTACCAAGTATTTATGGGCTACTTTAGATTAACTACATATGACTGTACAACTAAGAGGGCAAACTCTGAGATAGTCATCTTATATGGGATAGTTTGAGAAATGGTAGAAGGCACATCTACTTGTAAAAAGGCATACTTTTTATATCCAGCCTGCCACCAGGAAAAGTTCCTACCTAACTGGCGCAGTGTTTCTCCATAGGGGTGCCACTGACATTGTAGGACGTTTAGTGTCCTTGGTGTATTAGGGTTCTCCAGAAAAACAGAGCCTATACATATACGTATATAGAGAGATAGGGAGAGAGAGAGGGACAGAGGCACGCATTATTATAGGGAGTTGACTCTTGCTGTTATGGAGGCTGGCAAGTCCCAGGGAGCCGTAGTGGAAGTCAGCAAACTGGAGGCCCAGGAGGGCTGATAGTGCACTTCCAGTCTGACTTTGAAGGTCTGAGAACTGGGAAGAGCAAATGTTTCAGTTTGAATCTGAAGGCAGAAAAAAAAATCTCTTCCTTGAGGGAGGATCGCCCTTTTTCGTTCTATTCAGGTCATCAACTGATTGGATGAGGGTCACCCACATTCTAGAGGGACGTCTACTTTACTCAGTCTACCAATGTAAATGTTATTCTTATGCAAAAACATTCAGGATAATGTTTGACTACATATTTGAGCACCCTGTGATTCAGTCAAGTTGACATACGCAATTAACCATCACAATAGGCTTTGCTCAAAAAAGTGCTAGTGACACCTGCTGATCATTTTGACAGCATACAAATACCCCTGGTGGGCGAGGTGAGGGTAGTACTTTCATGAGTAAGAACTGTTGCCATAAAGTGTCTCCTTTGGGTTAAGATCTTGAGTCTTGAGAAGTTCCTTAACAATAACATTGATGTGTTACTGGAATGGCTAATGCCATTATCATTTAACGATATATATATATTTTTCCTAAAGATTTGTTCTTAAAACTTTTATTATAATAAACTTGTGGCCGGGGGGGGGGAATTCCATCACCTTTTGTTATTTTTATTCATAATCTATTTCACAGTCTCAGGTATATATATATATTCTTACATAGTTGTAATTTAATATTTTATGTTTTTCTAAGTAACATTTTTAATGTTACTGCACCATCACTGATTGTAATGATAGTCATAATCCACTAGGTACCTGTTCCACAACTTTTATCATTACAAGTAACATTGCACTGAATGTCTTTAGATATGTAGGACTTTCCATGCCTTCTCTGCTCCATACCCCTTTGCCGCCTTCTCTGTCTTTTTAGGGTCATTTTCTTTCATGAACATTTTAAAACTAGTTTGTTTATTTTCTTAGTTAGCTAGTTATTGGAGATGAGAGGAGAATAAATTTAAGGATAGGAAGAGTGGAAAGTTGAAGAAGTAGAATAGAAGCTATGTGACTTGTTATATTTCTGTATAGAAGGTTATATAGAAACGTAAGATTTTTCTTCCAGTGTTGTCTGACTGGAAGAAAATTTTGTAGTGATACGGATATTAGGTAAAAAAGCAAATATATTGAGCTATTTATGTTAATTTTTATTTCCTGACTACTTGCATTTAATTCAACCCTGCTTAGTTTCACCCATCTGCATGTGTATGTATGTTCTGTTACATGAAATAGAATGAGAAAAAAACAGAAAGAAACTTCTCCCTATAAGTAGCAGGATGTGAAGGACCAGAAATGCAGCTTATGCAATTAGTGAAAAAGCATATCTAAAAAACATAGTTTGGAGTCTCTAATCTTTTCCAACCCAATGGTGGCTATTAGCATTGACACTGTGGCTACTTTCTGGAAAATAAAGTACATTGATTAAAGATGATTTTGGTAATGAAGAAAGTTGTATTCGAACCAATTATTTATGACTCTTGGAAAAAGTGCTCAAAAGTTTTTCTTTGGTCTTAATTGTGCCTTCATGATCTGTTTACCATTGTCTTATGAAAAGATACTTTTTTTGCACTTTATATGTGTGTGTGGGTATGTGTGCATAACTTTTTAAGAATTAAAGATTATTCTGAATAAACTCAATATGCACAGTTTTGGTAAGCCTGACATGTATATTCAAATTAGGAGTCTATTATCCTAGTCTTCAATATAATTATACTTTGTATATAACAAAGTTGAGTTTTAAAAGTATCAAATACTGAACAAACCTCAAAAGTTATGTTTTTCTTCTAACACCTCCAATTTTGAGATAATATAAAATTAAGTCAGTTGAAAGAATACAAAGCAGTCTACATCTCACATGGAGAAAAAAAGTAGTCTTAAGAAGTTTGTTTTATAAGCCAGTTTTAGTAAATGTTTATGATATGTCTAGCTTTCTCTTGACAGTACTATGATGCATATAGGGCAGATTATTATCATTTTATCTGAGAAGAAAAGTGAGGCATAGAGAGGCTAATGAGCAATGCAGGCACTCATATTCATGATCCTAACTCTTGCTTTATCTGCTGTGAAAATCATAAATGGTATTTCTGTTTGTCTCAAACCACAGAAATGAAGTCATCACTGGGACCTCTTATTTTTTCATTCCACACTCAAATGATCAGTTAAGTCTTTTGATGCTACCTCCAGGACATAGAACACATCACCTTTCAAGCCACCATCATTTGTTAGCTAAATCAATAGATGCCAAACTTTTTGAACCTGTACCTGATCAGTACAAGAAAATTTTGAGCATGTTACCTCCATTATGATGAAGATACCTAATATTTATTGAGAGTTCCCTATGTGCTAGGCACATATAGGCAGTGTTCTATATGAACATATATACGTATTTATAAATTATACACACTTGCTAACGGACATTCTAATGTGTTAACATACGTTGTAAATACACGTTTTAAAAGATAATAAAAATGCTTAAAATTTTTATTATGGTACAAAAATATTTTATTCTCATTAAAACAGTTATACACACGCATGTTTTATATGTACTTGGAGGATTGTGATTGAATATGTTACTTTATTTTAGAAAATCTTGTTTTGACAGTTTATAATCCAGGTGAAGGTCTGGTCTAAGTTCCGTTTTCAAAAGTAGATCTAATACTGCTGGTAACTCACACATCTGTTGGTCTAATATAAGAAATACATCTTTCCCTATTTTAAATCATTATTTTGTCATTATGAGATTTCATCATGCAAACATCGGTAGAGTATACTTACACAGACCTAGATGTGGTACAACCTGTTACACACCTTGGCTCACCTTGGCTGTATGATTTTGCTTATTGCTCCTGGGCTACAAACCTGTACAGCATGTTACTATACTGAATACTGTAGGCACTTGTGACACAGTGATAAATATTTATGTATCTAAACATAGAAAAGGTAAAGTAAAAATAAATATGGTATTATAATTTTATGGGATCACTGTCATGTATGCAATCCATTGTTCACTGAAATGTTATGTGGTGCATAACTGTATATATGCACCTGACATCAAAGCACCTAAATGTATAAAACAAACTGACAGATCTGAAGGGAGATACAGCAATACATTAATAGTAGATGACTTCAATACCCCAGTCTCTCTAATGAGTAGATTATTCAGACAGAAAATTAATAAGGAAACAGCAGAACTACATAACACTATAGACCAAATGGATCTAACAGATACATATGGAACTTTTAACACAACAGCAAAAGAATATACATTCTTCTCAGGTGCACATGAAACATTCTCCAGTATAGTTCATGTTAGATCACAAAACAGGTCTCAAATTTAAGAAGATCAAAATCATTCTAAGAATCTGTTCCACTCAAAATGGAATTCAATTAGGAATCAATAATAGTAAGAAAACAGGAAAACTCAAATATGTGGAAACTAAACAATGGTATCCTTTTGAACAACCTTTGAGTCAAAGAAAAAATCAAAAGGGAACTTGAAAAGTTTCTTGAGACAAAGGAAACTGAAAACACAATGTACCATAACTTATGAGATGCAGAAAAAGGATACTAAGAGGGATAAAGGCCTACATTAAAAAAGAAGAACAGTATCAAACAACCTAACTTTATGCCTCAAGGAATTAGAAGGAGAACAAAGTAAGTCCAAACTTAGCAGAGGGAAAGGAATAACAAAGATCAGAGTAGAAATAGAGAATAGGAAAATAATAGAAAATATTAAGAAAACCTGAGTTTGTTTTTTGAAAAAAATAACCGTTAGCAAGACAAACTAAGAAAAGAGAGGACTCAAATCAGAAATGAAAGAGGAAGTATTACAATGGATGCTTCAGAAATAAAAAGGATCATAAGTGACTTTTATGAACCACATGCTAGTCAAATGGATAATCTAGAAGAAATAGATAAATTCCTAGAAACTGAATCAGTTTTCTGGAATCAAATTCCAGAAAATGGAATCAAGAAGTAGAAACAAAAAAGCCTAAGACTAGATGGCTTCACAGGTAAATTCTACCAAACATTCAAAGAAAAATCAGTGCCAATTCTTTTTACACTCTTACAAAAATAGAATAAGAAACACTTCCAAACTCATTTTATGAGGCCAATATCACTCTGATACCAAAGCCAGTAAATGTACCACAAGGAAAAAACTACAGGCCAATATTCCCAATGAACATAGGTGCAGAAACCCTTAATAAAATGTTAGAAAATTAAATTCAGTAACATATTGAAAGGATTATACACTATGACCAAATGGAATTTGTCCCTGGGATGCAAGGATGCATCAACATAGGCAAATCGATTAGTGTAATAAACCACAGTAATAGAATGATAATATACATTATAATCTTAATAGAAACAGAAAAAAGATTTGACAAAAATTCCACATTCATTTATGCTAAAACTCTCAACAAAATAGATGTAGGAACTTACTTTAAGGCAATAAAGACCATATATGAAAAACCCATAGCTAACATCATAATCAATGGGGGAAATTGAAAACTTTTCCTCTAAGATCTGATATAAGACAAGGATGCCCACTCTTCACCATTTCTGTACAGCACAGTTCTGGAATATTAGAGCAATCAGTCAAGAAAAAAGGCAACCCAATTGGAAAGGAAGAAATAAAACAATCTCTGTGTGCAGATGACATGATCACAAATGTAGAAAATTGTAAAGATTCAACAACCAAAAAAGTTAGAACTAATAAATGAATTTGATAGAGTTGCAGGATACAAAAATTAATGATGTTTCTATACAAGCAGTTACCTGAAAAGGAATTTAAGAGAACAGTCTCATGATTTCAGTGTCAAAAAGCATCAAAAAGAATAAAATACTCAGGAATAAACCTAACCAAAGAGGCAAAAAGACTTGCATACTGAAAATTACAATAGAGTTCATGAAGGGAGTTAAGACACGGATGGAAAGAGATTTGTGTTCATTGGCTGGAAGAATTAATACTGTTAAAATGTCTGTTCTACCCAAGTGATTTACAAATACAATGCAATCCCTATGAAAATCCCAATGGCATTTTTTACAGAAGTAGGAAATTCATATGGAACTACAAAAGGCGTTAATAGCCAAAGTTTTTTTTTTTTTTTTTTTTTTTTTTTTTTTTTTTGAGATGGAGTCTTGTTCTGTTGCCTAGGCTGGAGTGCAATGGTGTGATCTCAGTTCACTGCAACCTCCACCTCCTGGGTTCTAGCATTTCTCCTGCCTCAGCCTCCTGAGTAGCTGGGATTACAGGTGTGCACTACCATGCCCAGATAATTTTTGTATTTTTAGTAGAAATGGCTTTCACCATGTTGGCCAGATTGGTCTTGAACTCTTGACCTCTGGTGAGCCACCTGCCTCAGCCTCCCAAAGTGCTGGGATTACAGGTGTGAACCACCACGCCCAGCCCCAAAGTAATCTTGAGCAAGAAAAATAAAGCTGGATGCATCACACTTCCTGATATCAAAGTACATGACAAAGTTACAGAAGTCAAAGCAGTATGGCACTGATACAAAAACAGACATGTGGACCAATGGAAGAAAATAGAGAGCCCAGAAATGACACATTTATGGTTAGCTGACCCTCAACAAAGATGTTAAGGACACCTAGTGGGGAGTAGATAGTCTTATCAATAAATGCTGCTGAGAAAATTGCAGCATGCAAATGAATGAAATTAGACCCTGATCTCACACCATAAAGAAAAATCAATTCAAATGGATTAAAGACTTACATGTAAGACCTGAAACTGTAAAACTCAGAAAAAACAAGGAAAAAGCTTCTTGACATTGGTCTGGGCAGTGATTTTTTTGGATGTGACACCAAAAGCACAGGCAACAAAAGCAAAATGGACAAGTGGGAGTGTATCAAACTGAAAATCTTCTGCCCAGCAAAAAACAGTCAACAAAATGAAAAAGCAGCATACTGAATGGGAAAACATATTTGCAAACTGTGTATCTGATAAGGGGTTAATATCCAAAATATGTAAGGCATGCAGTAGCAAAAAACAACCCAATTAAAAGGTGGGCTAGGGACCTAACTAGACATTTCTCCTAAGAAGACATACAAATGGCCCACTGGTATATGATAAGGTACCCAACATCACTAATCATCAGGTAAATGCCAATCACTCCCCAATGAGATAGCATCCCACACTGGTTAGAATGGCTATTATCAAAATACAAAAGATAGTAAATGTTGGCAAGGATGTGGAGCAGTGGAACTTGTCCGCTATTGGTGGGAATGTAAATTGGTACAGCCATTATGGAAAACAGTATGGAAGTTTCTCCTCAAAATTTAAAAATAAAGCTACTGAATCATCTAGCAATCCCACTTCCAGGTATATATCCAAAAGAAAATCGCTATCTTGAGTTCATTGCAGCATTATTCATAGTAGCAAAGTTGTGGAAATAAGTTACATGTCCATTGATGAATGGATAAAGAAAATGTGGGGAGTATGTGTGTGTATATGAATACCACTCAGCCTTAAAAGAAGATGGAAATCCTGTGTTTTGCAACAACATGAGTGAACCTGGAGGAAGTGAAATAAGCAAGACACAGAAAGACAAATGCTGCATTATCTCACTTATATGTGGAAGCTGAAACAGTCGAGCTCATAGAAGCACAGAGTAGACTGGTGGTTGTCAGGAGCTGGGAAATGGGAGAAATGGGAGATGTTGGTCATTGGTACAGTGTCAGTTATGCAGGATAGATAAATTCTGAAGACCGAATGTACAGCATGACTATATTGTATGTGACAAATTTGCTAAGAAGGTAGATCTTGTGTGCTCACCACCTCCCGTCCAGAAAAAAGGTAACTTAGAGGTGCTGGATATGCTAAAAGAAAAACAAAATGATATGTATGTTTCAGTGCTCATATTTATTAAAGCAGCGACACTAATTTGTGTATTGTCTATGGCTGCTTTCACATTGCAACAGCAGAGCTAAGGAGTTGCAACTGAGTCTGTATATGTATACATAGTGTTTGACTCTTTACAGAAAAAGTTTGCCAACTCCTGGAATAGGTGATACTTATATCATTTTCAGCTTCAGAAGGACAGTGTGATGGAAAATTTTCAAATTTTTTTTGAGTCTACCTTTTGATGTTTTTTGTCAATTTTTTTAAAATTCTGTAAAAGTTCTGCATGTTATCTTTTTAGCAACTGATCCTGCCCTAGTCTAGTGCTCATCTTTCCTTTTGGGGCTCCAGTTACATGTGTGTTATACCTTTTCACTGTAATCCTTATGTATGTAGTGGAAAAGTCACCTAAAATTTCACATCACTTCTAAGTTTACTTCACTGTTTTGTTCTCAAATACCTTCAAATATATTTTAAAAACAAACAAAAAACTTGTCTAGCTTTTCTAATCATTCTCCGTTGGAGGTTTGGTCCAAACTGTATAATCCACTATTAATGAAAGCAGAGTCCATTTCCAAAAATTTAGTCAACTATACTCTCCATATTGTGAATTACTTTTGCATTTAAAGTTAAATTGTTACTTATCTTGAAGGGTCAGATTAGCTGTGTTTATTATTTTTAAAACATCACCAAATAGTCTTCTGTTGACAGCCACTTATCCCAGAAAAATTCAGCAAATCTGAAACAATTGTTACTTTTAAAAGGAGACTATTTAACTCATTAAATTTGACAGCTCTTAAGGACTTTGCCAAGATAGCCAGAATAATAGTGCATGGAATATCTTCATGGTTAATATCATTTTGTTGTAAATCATTGATAGTAAAGATTCTCCTATTTAAACTAATATAAGCTGCAAATTCACATTCATGGGCACACACAAACTGCGATCATTACAGTACTGTAAAAGCAAATGAACAAATGGGAAACAGTCAAACTCTGATGTAAAGAACTTCCATCTTTCCATTCCACCTCTGTGCATTTTGTTAGACCTAGTGAGGGTGCCATTGTCAAACTATTCATTAACTATCTCTGAAGCTCATTTCCTTCCTTTCTCTGATAAATTGTAAATTGAAGTTTTAAAATGTAAATTCTTAAATCCCAGGGCACTATCTCAAGCACCCTATATATATGCTTCCAGACCATTCTTAATCCCTTATAGGGATTATTCTATACAAGGGCATAATCTTTTAAAAATAAAAAGATCATGTCTTCCTTAACAAAACCGTAAGGCTTCCTTAAAAAAAACTGTAAGGCTTCATATTGCATTTAGAATAAAACCTGCAATTCTTACTCTGATATTTTATTTGATTAATCAGGATGTAAGCTCCTTAAGAGCAGGGACTTTGTCCTTTCCCAGAATGTAATCAGCATCTGGAGCAGTACCTCACGAGGAGATGACATGACTAAATGTCTCATGGATAAACAATATATGAATAAAATGAATTAAATACCTAGAGTTTCATATTTGTAGTACTCGAAGATTAAAAATCTATTAAAGGGTAAACTCTTGATTTGCCTTTTTAGGTTGCTCTGCACAAAATCGTCACTTAATATAATTTTGTGAATCTTTTTATTAAAAGCTCTAAGGCTTCTTAACTGTCATTACTGTAAACTGCAACATTATTGGTGTATTAATGTTTTAACTTGTCCCTCCTGTATGTCCTTGCTATGACTAATAAGAACATATATAGTGACCACATTATAAAAAGCTGACTGCAAAGGAGTTGGCTTTGACATGTTGGTCATTGTTTGCCTTCAGCACATTTACAGTCCTTACGCAAGCATTAATCAGGATGATTGATCTCAACTTGGCTGCCTCAGTGGTAATAGGTCCTAAAACAAGGCACCTATTCCCAATGCCTCATAGTTGTCTCTCTGTTGTCAACTGCTGCTTCCATAGTTGATATTGAGTACTTATTTTCAGGCTAAATTTTGGTAGTATGTGTTTGCTTCAATCATAAACACTTGGCAAAAGCTTTTTGAAAACAAATGCTACTTTGTTTCTAAAATATGAGATGTTAACTTTTTCAGGAAGCTCATAAAATGGTGAGAGAAGCAAATATCAAGCAGGCAACAGCAGAAAAACAGCTAAAAGAAGCACAAGGAAAAGTAAGTTTTTGCTGCTCTTAATAGTATAAAATAGTGGTGATGGTTTTAAAGATACCTTAACATCTGTTGGATTTTATTCTGATTGTAAAGTAGTGCTTGTTTTCAATTTGGAAACTACAGAAAAATAGAAGAAAATAGCTACTATGTAGATATAATTAATAGTAAACATTTGGTGTCCATTTATATGAGAACCAAATGATTTAAAGCCTTGTAAATCACATGAATTATCCAAAGGATTATAGAATCACATTTTAATGTTAATACTTAGTTTTTAAATTCACTGAGCAAAGCCACCTAAATGTTATTAGATTTAACTGTTTTAGGAGTGAACTTCTACAACTAGTCATAAGCTATTTTATTTTGAAGATTTTGAAATTTCACATAAATGTTAGCTATTTTGGTAATTTTCAAAATTTGATTTGACATTGTGAATAATAGATGAATCCAAACCATATGGAAACATCGAAAAACTTGATTTTAGTTTATCTTTATTACTCCTCAGGAAATACAGATTAAACTTACTTTTCATCTTTGAAAGTGTTCTGACCAGATTGCTAATATTTAGCTGCATTTGTCATGAAACATATTTAATGTATGTGACTATGTTGATTTCTTTCCAAGATTGATGTACTTCAAGCTGAAGTAGCTGCATTGAAGACACTTGTATTGTCCAGTTCTCCAACATCACCTACGCAGGAGCCTTTGCCAGGTGGAAAGACACCTTTTAAAAAGGGGCATACAAGAAATAAAAGCACAAGCAGTGCTATGAGTGGCAGTCATCAGGACCTCAGTGTGATACAGCCAATTGTAAAAGACTGCAAAGAGGTAACTCGTCAAGGACTGTCCCCTCTGACTCTGTTGATACTTGTTAATTCTCATCACTGAGGTGTCAGTTATCATTTTTACCAGCAAAATTTTTAGTACAAAATATGCAGTATTAAGATGGGGGAGGCTTTATCTAGAGCTGACTGCTTTCAGGGATTCGTCAGTTCCATTTTCTACCTGGCTGACCTTGGAGTACCTGCTAGAAACTTGGTAAGTTTCTTAATCTCAATATTTCATTAAGGGAGGAAACTGTCATGTGTTGTCTAGAGGAGAGTGGGTGGCTTTAATGATTTGGCTAGTCAACATTTATTGCTAGAGTGCACTTACAAAGTATGAATATAAGAAATATGTGAAAATAAGATGATTTTCTTAAAGATCAATACATGCTTTTATTTAAATTCAGAGAGAGAATTCTATATCACAAAGGAGTCCTAGAGTTAATTCGGATAATTAAGCAACAAAACATAGAAATAATGGTAGCCTTACAACTACGTAAGGCTGGAAGACATTTTGCTAAGTGAAATTTCAAGTTATAGTGGAACAATTAGTATCATTTTTGATCCCAAATTAGGTTTCACAGTTCAGCCAGTCTCAGTTATTCAGACACTTACAACTATGTAAGGCTACCATTATCATGTATCCATAATAATTAAAAATTTAAAACGAAATAATGGGCCGGGCGCGGTGGCTCATGCCTGTAATCCCAGCACTTTGGGAGGCTGAGGCCGGAGGATCACCTGAGGTTGGGAGTTCGAGACCAGCCTGACCAACATGGAGAAACCCCGTCTGTACTAAAAATACTAAATTAGCCAGGCGTGATGGTGCATGCCTGTAATCCCAGCTGCTCGGAAGGTTGAGGCAGGAGAATCACTTGAACCTGGGAGGCGGAGGTTGCATTGAGCCGAGATTGCACCATTGCACTCTAGCCTGGGCAACAAGAGTGAAATTGTGTCTCAAAATAATAATAATAATAATAATAATAATAGTCTTATTATTTTAAAAGATATGTAATAAAGATAACTGAAATAATATATAAATATTTTGAGCTGTTTAGAGTAAAAATTGTTTTTAATCATTGTATACTGTGAGAAAGCATTTCTAAGAGGATTGATCAATAATTTATGAAGCTTTCCCATTTCTTCTTAGAAGCCATCTTTTACATTGTTGAATTCAAGTTCATCATTAATCCTGTGTGTGCTTGTTAAATTTTTGTATGGAAGTCAGGAGTTTATTAAATGGAACAACCAATGTTGTTAACCTGTTGTAATTGAATTGCATTTTGACTAATTATTAATAAGAAAGATGCTGCTAAGAGACAAGTTCAATACTTGGTTAAATATGAATGTAACCAAATCCAAAATTCACATTGGTTTCTGTGAAGTATTTAAGAAACTTTTTTTGTCGTAACTTTAATTCTAATTCCTTGGAATTTAAATAGCAATTTTAATTGCCTGGTACAACTTGTATTTTTGCTGTTTCTTACTCAGTATGTGTAAGTAATTATGTACTTTTCCCCCCATTGACACTAACAAAATTTAAATGTCTTCTTATGGAACATGGTAAAGGTTCATTTTAGTTTTTGAAATCCCTAAAAACGTGTGTAGGCAGCATATAACTTCAAAATAATAACCTTTGCTTTCCAGGTATGTGTTATATTCTAATGTTTTGTGAAAAACTTGTCAAAAAGTCTTACTAGGCAAAGGAATTACATAAATTTGGCCTATGTAAGTCTTAGAAAAATACGTAACGATCTGGAAGAAAATGAAGCATGTCCATGTTTTTGTAGAAAATATGATGGGGGCACTCAGTTATGACATTAGCAACATGTCTTCTGTAGACATTTAAAATACACATTCCTGCATGCAGACATACAAGCCCAGTGCAAGGCTTTGGGATCAAGCCACTTAGATTTGAATTTGGACTTCACTGTTTTCTTGCTATGCAATCTTGGGCAAGTTACAAATGGCGATCATAATATCTGTCTTGTACAGTTGTGAGGATTAAATGTTTGTAAAGTGCTTAGAGTGGTTCCTGGCAGAGTCAGCTCTTAATAAATGGTTTAAATTACAGCCTTTAAACTAGAATCTTTCCTTAGAATACCACTTACCTGCTTTGAGGTTTATGTCCTTTTTCTCAGTAACTTTACAAAGAAAATGCATTTGAAAATGTAAGTATTGCTTATATACTAATATTATTTATCCTACTGCTTTTGCTTTGATTCAAGGAATTTATGAATTGGACTGAAAAGAAAATTCACATGGAGATTGCCTTTATACACCTTGAAAGGAAGTCTGTAGGAAGGCTTCGCTACACTCAGCTCTTACGTTCTTGTAGACTACTTGCACGTCTGATTGAGCTATCCTAGAGGCAGTCTGTAGCTATAGTCAGTGCATCATTTTTGGTGTATCCAGTGCTTGTGGACAAGAGCAGCTTAGCGCTGTAGGACGGTGGAGACTGCTGTAGTTTGGGTGACTGATGTCAATGCAAGTTTGTATTCCAGCAGATGTTATTGAGCTGGACTGAGGGAATCTGAGAAGCTGTAGGGAAGAATACTTGGGGAAAATTTATTAGGGAGGTAGGAAAGAGAGGGACAGCTAGAGGAGTGAATAGGAAGGCAGGTGCCAGCAGTGGATTATTATCGATGCCTAAGGTGGTAGTTACTGGATACCAAAAATATGTCAAAAATATCTAAATAAATGTTGTATTTTAAGGTAGGCAGTTTAGAAGACTTTATGTGTTGTTTTTTAAAATCCTGTTGCTTATGCAGTAACATTTTGACAATTCTTTTGGGAATGCCTTCAAGTTATAGTAGAACTGTGTCATTTTTGATCCCAAGTTAGGTTTCACAGTTCAGTCAGTCTCAGTTTATTCAGACACTATAATTAATTAGGTTCCAAATTACCTTTTTATTGTTTTCGGAAAAAACTTGTCATCATTTATTATATTCTGAATAGTGTGCCACCTGTGTCTTAAGAGGAACTCCAGCATTTTTGGTGGGGATGGGAGAAGGAGCTCAGGGTGAGGATAATAGTAGTGTTATTGAACATGGTAGCAGATGATGCATGGAAAAAAGCTACTTGGTTATTTGAGAGTCATTTTTTAAAAAGGAAAACTGCTACCAGGTATTATATAACTAATCAAGAGTGGTTCAATTTATTATTTTAAATAAAGAGCATTGTTTTTCGTGAGATGTTTAAATTAGTTTTGGTTTTATAAAGTGGTTTTTATGTTTATACTTTTTAAAACATGTTTTTGTGTTTTCCTTTGGTTTGTCTGTTAGGCTGACTTATCCTTGTATAATGAGTTTCGATTGTGGAAGGATGAGCCCACAATGGACAGGACGTGTCCTTTCTTAGACAAAATCTACCAGGAAGATATCTTTCCGTGTTTAACATTCTCAAAAAGCGAGGTAATTTGTTTTCATTTTAGTAGGACTTCATTATAGTTGTTTCTGTACTTCTTTTAAACTGAATCATATTACATATTTTAATATCTCCTACATAAATAAGTTATTATAAAATGTCATGTTTTACTATTTTTGCCATTCTGTACTAGAATCATGATAATTTCTCGGCATTTAGTTACTGAACATCTTTCCTTATATGAGCAGAGGATCATTCACACTAAAATGTGTACTGCATTGGTGTCAGGTATTAAATAGGTATGGGGGATAGGACTTGTTTCTTGATTTACAGTCCGAGGTTCAATGTAAGGGAAGTTCTTTACACACTCTGTTAAAGGCATTTGTTGTGTCTATCTGTGCATGATTTAAAAATCTTATTTTTTTAATCTTTAAAACAGGAAAAGTAATGCCTTCTTTGCCTGTGCCACAGGATTGTTAAAAGGATAAAATGAAGTGAATTAAGTAGAGATAAAAACCTTAGAAAAATAAGGCAGTACAAAAATGTAAAGCTATAATTTTAATTTATTCTTACATGTGAAAGGTTTGTCTAGAAATATCCTGTCAATTAAAGTATAAGAAATTTAATCCTAAGACTTTTATGTTAAGTCTTTCAAGAATTTAATTGTAATGTTACTTATCAGGAGAAGTTAAGATGAGCATTTTTCACACTTTTGATATGAATATGTGTTGTTCATTGTGGCTCTGTGTCTGGTTTCAGGTAGGCCATTCAGTATTAGTAACCTTGCCAGACTAAAGAAGTTTTCCTGTTTCATCTTGTATCAGTTGCTACCATCTTTATCCTGGCATTTAATATTTCATAATTCAGCTAATTCTTTTGTAGACTCACTCTTATGCACAAAAATACAAATTCAGAGAATATGCAGCTAATTAATATATATTGCTGTGGTGTAAATGACCAGTGTTTAAAAATATTGTATACATTTAGCAGAATAAAGCTTCAGGATATTCATTTTGAGGTGGCATTAACAGTGGATATTAATCATGGGTAAGGAGTGAACAGAGACTGGAATTAATGCCTTTAATGCTCATCCAAGTAATGAGGAAAGTTATTTCACCATAAGTGAATTGCCTTTCATAACAGTGTTTGGATTATAAAATAAATCAAATGAAAATTATCTGATTTCTTCCATTTTCATTTGCTAAAGCCAAGCTAGTGGAACTTGGGAGAAGAATAATTTGTAAAATTAGTTTACTGTAGAATACAATTTTGATATTTTTCTGCCAGTATAGCATCTAGTGCTTTTTCTTTTTTTTTAAGTTGGCTTCAGCTGTTCTGGAGGCTGTGGAAAACAATACTCTAAGCATTGAACCAGTGGGATTACAACCTATCCGGTTTGTGAAAGCTTCTGCAGTTGAATGCGGAGGACCAAAGTAGGTTTTTACATGCATGAATTGTGAAAGTGACTGAGTTTTTGAAATGTTATGGGTTGCAGTTATTTAGTTTTTCTGGTTTTAAATGTAGTTATATCTCCCTCAGATTTCTCTTAAGTGACTGTGTAGCCCAAAGACGAATTCCTGAGACAGTGTGGAATACAGTATTTCAGCTTTAGCGTTAAAGGAGAGCCTTTTTAATTATGGATTGGTGCAAAAGTAATTGTGCTTGTTGCCATTACTTTCAATGGCAACAAGCACGATTACTTTTGCACCAACCCAATACAATAATATACATATATGGATCCAGGTAAACGAGAGATAGAAACCTGAGTTTTGTTTTTGTTTTTAACCTCATATTGTGACCTATTAGTGGATTGTGAAATCAGTTTAGTGGGTCATAAGCAGAATTTTTATTTATTACATGTATATGTATAGCCATGTGTCCTGGGTTTCTGTATAAAATACTTCTGTCTGAGGGTGACCATCAAAAATAGTTTGGGAAGATACTGAGTTAGAGTAAGTCTTAGCTATCATGAAAACAGTGTACCAAAAAGACTTGATGAGATTTCTCCTTTTATATTGTGTTTATAAAGGATTCTCACTTTAATAAATAATCAGTTTTGTCTTTCATATGTGAGTCTTACTTGAGAATTATAAATCTTCAGAGATAAGACTCCCACATTTCATAGCAGGGCAGCCTTTTTCCATCCAGTCCTATGAGGAGGAATGACTGAAACCAACAGTGCTTAAAACATCTGGCAACGGTGAAAGGTTTTGCCTAAAACCATGGCATAATTGTGTCTTGGCTTCTGTTTAAAAAATGACTCGGAAAGCTTTTGAGAAAGATGCTTATTAAGTACATAGAGCCAGATCAACATAGGGGACTAGAAAGCCTGAGAGAGCTCATAGAAAGTGTAACTGACTGCTGTCAGGGTGATTTTGAAGCCAGAAAAGGAAAAGACTGGTTGAGATGAACTAACAGGTCTGTGTTGAAGCTGTTGTAGGAACTGTGTGCTTGTTTCTATTCCCTGTTATGCGCGTTACATTCTCAGCAAGATTACAGAATGTTGTTATTTAGGTGATCATTTGTTGGAGGGTTCCTAGTCATATATTTGTTCTGTGAGCCACACGTCCACCTCGCTCCCTCAAGCCACACCTGTGTAACAGTGGCCTCTGAATTTTAGGGAAAGAATTTACATTCTTAAATTCTACAAACACCCAAGTATTTTTATTCTGATCCTTCCACCCCAAATATGGAGAACTAAATTTAATCATAGCAGTTTTCATATGTTTAAGGTCTGTGTCATGCCTCATTTTAAATATAGCATACAACTGGTTTTATTGTAGAATTTAAAATTTGTACTTGCATTATATATCACACATATATGTGCAAATATCATCAAATGATAACAAATGGGGATATCAAATTAAAGTGCATTTAAAGTATCTTTAGTAAAATAATTAGATTTAGAGAACAGTGTACAAAGTTTAAGGATGTTGTGCTTGTGGGAATGGGGCCAGAAACCAAGGTGATGCATATCATATGGAAAAAACTATGTGAAGTATGACTCTGGCCGTGGCTCGTGTGAGCTACAGTGTGAAGATAATGACTAAATGAGTGGCACAGCGCTGTAGGAATTTTGAGGAAGACAAGATTATTCACAGCGCTGTAGGAATTTTGAGGAAGACAAGATTATTCAAACTATGATTAGGTGCTCTTCTTGAAAGGAGGGAGATTTGATTTAGGTTTTTGAAGCATAAGAGTAATTTGGATAAAGAGCAGTATATACAATTGAAGACCTAGAAACAAGAAATCAAAGTGTGTTCAAAGGATGGTGAGTGTATGGAGAGGAAAGGGAAGATGTGACAGATTTTAAGAAAGAAAAGTTAGATTGGGGTAGGGTGATGGGTAAAGGAGAAAGGAGTTAGAGATGTCTGACTGGAAGACTGATTTGAAGTGATTGTGGAAATTAATAGAAAAGGCTTTGGTTTGTGGAAGAAGATTATAGGTCTAGATTTAAACATGCTGGCATCGTCACATGAAAATGGCAAACAAGGATTTGAAATCTTGGGACCAGAGTTATAGAGATTTATTAATGTAGTGTAGCATGTTTGAAAAAAAAATGGAGTTGGAGGTCAAAAGTCTATTCGCATTGAATCCTGGCTTAACTAAAAATATATTAGGTGTGTCTAGTTTACAAAATGGCTTAGAAATGAGATCTTTTAAGAAACACTATACACCATGGAATACTATACAGCCATAAAAAAAGAACGAGATCATGTCCTTTGCAGGGACATGGCTGGAGCTGGAGGCCATTATCCTTAGCAAACTAATGTAGGAACAGAAAACCAAATGCCGTGGGTTCTCACTTATAAGTGGGAGCTTATGTGTTCCATGAGAACACATGGACGCATAGAAGGGAGCAACACACACTGCTGCCTATGGAAGGGTGGAGGATGGGAAGAGGGAAAAGATCAGGAAGAATAGTGGATACTAGGCTTAATACCTGGGTGATGAAATAATACATACAACAAACCCTCATGACCCATGTTTACCTATTTAATAAACCTGCACACCCTGCACGTGTACTCCTGAACTTACAAGTTAAAAAAAAGAAACACTTATTATTTTAAAAGTTGATACTTAAAGCCACCTTACCAGATCCCTTTCAAAATTAGGTTGAATAGTAGACCAGCAGGCATATGTCTGTTTCCTGTTTCCAGAAGAATAGTGTATAAATTGGTTTTTAGCAACTTGATGGCACATTTTCCTGTTGTGCAAATTATACTTTTGGAAGTTCCACAGACTTCCAACACTCTGTGCTTTAAATTTCTAGATCTTCTATCCTCCCCAAACTAGTAGTTAGTGCTTTTAAATATTGTTACAGATCATTAAAGGAATTTGCTAATAAAGAAACAAAGAAATATTTGAAAAAAGATAGGAATTGGTTAGTGATTTGAATTACCCCCTCCTGAAAAATTACCCTGTTTCAAATACACATTGTTGTGTGTTTTCTTAATATAAAGGCACATTTGTATATTTCTTGTAAGTATCGCTAAAATGTAAATTTAATATATTTACTATGTAATTTGTACTGTCATATAAAATGCTATTGGCCTCTTACTTTACTTAGAGCTATGCTAATTTTGCATTGATGGGGAGTGATAGTTGTATTGAGCCAGGTTCCTAGCTTAGGAGGGTGACAGCTGGGCTGCTGCAAGTCTGGCCTGGTAGACATGCCAGCCTTATCTCACAGAGCCATAGGGTAACAGATGGCTCATTACTCATTCAGCAGTCATTGAATGTGTGCTGTGTGCCAGGCACATGCCTGGTGCCAGGCATTTAAAGATGAATCAAAGTCCCTGCCCTCAAGAGGCTGATAGCCTAATCCCAGCCAGAAAGCCCTCATATGAAATTTTAGCTTTTGTCATGCAAATAGAAAGGATGGTGTGAAATTTAGTGAACTTGTTATATGATTGTTAAGATTCAGTATTTTTATAAGGTGGCTTATTCCTTTGTACTTCTCCCTAGGTCCCACATTAAGTGCAAATGTAGCAACCAACCAACCAAATAAACAAATACCCCATCTGGAAACTATTACCCTGCAAGCTATCCGTAACATGCTTTGAGACTTGAACAGTCATCATGAGGATATTTTCAACTGAGAAGTTGAAATCCTGATGGAAAACTGAGAGCTGTCCTGCAGCTGATTACTCATTTGTAAATTTGTTCCAGGATGGGATATATATGGAAAACACCTAGTTTCTGTTTCTAGAATCATGGTTAATATTATGGCATTAAACTTATACTATTAATAGAATGTAAGTCTCACAAGGGCATAGTCTTTGTCTGTTTCATCACTGTAGTCCAGCATCTAGAACTGTGCCTGGTACACAGTAGGTTCTCAAATATTTGTCATCTAACTGAATGAATAGGTAACTTGTACAGAAGGTAGGGGCAAATGCTTTTAATTTCAAAAAACTGAAATTTATCATTATTTCACAGAAAATGTGCTCTCACTGGCCAGAGTAAGTCCTGTAAACACAGAATTAAATTAGGGGACTCAAGCAACTATTATTATATTTCTCCTTTTTGCAGATACAGGGTAAGTGACTTAACCATGAATTTTAATAAAGCTTGCTTTGATATGAGACATTTGACCATTCATGACATTTTCTCCATTTGGCCTAGATCACTTCTGTATGTAACTTTTTTACATACATTCGATACATTCAGCAGGGACTCGTGAAACAGCAGGATGGTGAGTGTTCTTGATTCAGTATAAATCTTTACATAAAAGTTCAGCAAAAAGTGTAGGATGTAGTAGTAATGCTCATATCAGCTTTATTGTTGGTACATTTATGTTGAATCCCATATATAGTTCTAATAAAATTTGTGGAGAATTTGGGAACAAATGTCTTTTAGAAAAATACTATGTTTAATTATTTTATTTGCCTCATTGTACTCTTAATTTTGAATTTTAAGCAGGGTCAGTTTTAACTCCTGAGTGGTGTATAATAAACCAGATAGTAAATGAGAAGAGAGTTCCAAGCTCATTGAATTGACTCTTTAAGAGATGAAAATGAGGCCGGCAAAGTGGTCATATTTGTTTTAATTGATGGAAACCATGATGGAGCTCACAATTAAGTTTTCCCTGTATTTTCTATTTTTTGTGTGTAAATTAATAAAGTAGTCATGAGGATAATTCTGAGTGGAATAAAGATTGTCATATTCTAAATCAGCAGAAACATGCAAGTGATATATCCAGGAGAACCAACCTCATGCACGTGTGTTAATATTTTTAATACAATTTTTATATGGCTTTATAGCTAAATATCTTAAATATCAGGCATAAAAACTAATATGGTCTGACAGCTCCAAAGCAGTATCTCTCGAGCACAAATGATTACATAAAAATGAAAATAGCAGATACTGGGCTAGAGACAAGTCTATGCCAGTTTGTATTTAAAGTTTTACAAAATTTCCCTGTTTATATTTTTTAGGCACTGAAAATATTATCTTGCTCAAGCACTGGTAGAAGCCTACCATCTTTCAATCATGTAAACCAGTGAATCTTAATTCTATGGAGAAGTTAGTCATGCTGATAAAAATTTAGTTTAGCCTTTCTTAAGGTCTGGTATGTTGAAAAATGTCGTATTTCTTTAAAATCCCATGTAGTTGGATTTTAATGCCTAAAACAATAGGGATAAAACCTGTTAACCTAATAACCTGATAACCTAATTAATGTTGAATTTCAAAAGACTTAATAACACACAAACAGTCTTTAAACTATATAATCCTTTTTTTGACTTTAATAAAACTGAAATATTTTTGAATACCTGTAGATGGATAATATAATTTAAGCCAGATAACAGAAAATTTATGTTAAATATAATTGCCAAGAATATAATATTTTTCTGTTTGTTTAAATGAGAAGCTTGTAGGAAAGACAGAAAGATAATTTACTTTATGAAAATAGAAAGAAAGTGTTACGAGTAATGAATGGTGAGGGTGATGATAATAAAAGTAGTATATCTTCTCTGGTTTCTATCACTCTTCCACTTTATGATATTTAGTACACATCATTTACTATGTGTGTTTGTTGTAAACAGGTATTAGTCTTAAAATCTGTTTATTATATGTGCCTTGTGCCAACAGAAGATTTAGGGCAGCTAAATCTAAAGCAGAATTTCTTGACCTTGGTACCAGTGACATTTTGAGCTGGATAATTCTTTGTTGTGGGGGACTGTCTTGTGCATTTGTAGGATGTTTAATAGCATCCCTAGCTTTTACTCATTAGATACCTGTAGCACCCCCGAGATGGGACAGTGAAAAATGTATCTATTCATTGCCAAATGTACCCTGGAGTGGCCAGGGATGAGAAGTGGTGGTAGTGGTAGTGGTGGAATCTTCCATGATTGAGAACCATTGATCTAAATGAATATAATCTGATCATATATCAAACGAAGACCTTTTATTGTCTGAAATAAGGAGCCAACATTTTTCCACTTTTAGTGGGAACTTATAAAAGTATAGGTAATTGAATTTACAATTCATCTTCCTCATGCATTTTTATTTCTAATTTGAGCCATATGCAAAACCTTTCTGTTATTACTCACAAACAGTGTTACTGAGTTTTCTGGATTGTCTTATTTTCTTTTTTTCCCCTTCACCCTCTGTTAGTGTTAATGAAGAGTAAAATGACCATGATATAACAAACTAGAGCAAGAAGATTCATAAGTTAGAGAATAACTCGAATAATTGAACATTGAGTGTACTCACTTCATGAAGGTGACAGCATTGACATTTACTCAGGATGCTGGATGTCTACCTTTTCTAGGGCTAAAATGATCGTCTCTGATATATTTAACGAATAATTGTGACAAAACTGGTGACTTGCTTTATTGATAAAACTGAGATGGTCACAAGTCTGTGGAAAAGCTTATGTGAATTATTGAAAAAATGTAGGTACATCTTTAGGAAATATGCAGTTGATGCAATTGGCATTTCAGCTACCTTAAGTTTTCAGCGAAACATTAAACATAATGAAGATGGTATTTTATGATTTAAATATCTCTCTTTTCTGTTTGTGTAGTTGATCAGATGTTTTGGGAAGTTATGCAGTTGAGAAAAGAGATGTCATTGGCAAAGCTGGGTTATTTCAAAGAGGAACTCTGATGTTCTGCGTGGGACCATGCCTGAACTCTCTGAATAACTGAAAAATGGCTGAATATTTTTATGGTTACTTGATATTTATTTCCAAGGAGTGGGCCTAAGACTTTTTTCCCCTTTTGCAAATTGCTCTAAGAAGTACCATGATTTCTTTTAAACTGATCTATGCTGTGTTTGCTTATTCTTTAGTTGAATACACTATGAAGGATTACAGGTGTACTAGTGAATGTAATTTATAGTTGCAAAAAAAAAAAAAAAACCCTGAAATAAATAAATGTTAGATTGAATGTGTGTACATTTTCTGTTCTAGCTCTGACATGGCATTTAGGGTTAGCAGAATGTATTAAATAGTAATTTTCAAACTACACAGTAGCTTCCTTCCTTGTGAGAGGCAAGGAAGACGTCTGAGTGGACAGCACTCACTTTCCAAGGCCCCCACCTCTAGAATGGCTTTATTTTTGTCTGTTTTCTATATTGGGTTTCAAAAAGATTATATTTGAAGAAATACTTCTGCTGCTACAAAGTTTGAAAGTTACTATTTTAATTATTCTGCTCTCTGTAATTGAAAGAATCCCTTTATTTTGGTGATTCATTAAAATATAATAGAAGGCAGTCAAATTGTATCCCAGAGATGTATTCCTGAGCGTCTTGATGTAGTGTATTCATGTTTTATATGTGTTAACCACTGTATTGACGTTGGAGGGACATAGACGTAAATGAGTTTGATTGTGTCAAAGGGGTTTAAAGGGGTGTAGGTTGAAAGAATGGTACGTGTGAAGTATACACTGATCATAGAACCACTTGACCTCTGCATTCCAAATTGTAAAACTGACTCTACTGGAGAAATTATAACAAGAGGTTTGTGGTAGAAGTATAATAAGTATAGAACAGCAGAAAGAAAAAATGAGAAACCACTTTAGTCTCTGTTTAGAGAAAGCTGCTGTTAATATTTTTGGAGAGTAGCCTTTCAGCTTTCAGATATTTTCTACTTACATATGCATATTTTTGAAACAAAAAGTAGGCTTTTCTTTTTTTTGCTTTTTAAACCTAAACATTAAATACATTTTCCTTTGGGTAAACCTACACATCCTAATCCCTGTTTATAGAATTTTAACATAATTTAATTGTGTTTGGAGATGAGGTGGTTTTCAGTTTATTTTTCATATTATAATGCTTGACAAGTATCCTTATCTGTGCACTTTTGAACAGTTGAGTTCTTTCATGTGGATGCCTGGAGATAAAATTGTTGTGTCGATGTATATATATATGTGTATTTATATGTGTGTATATATGTATTTTTAAATGTTTGATCTGCGTTGCTAGATTGCCATCCAGAAAAGTTAAACAGTGTGTATTCACAGCAGCAGTGTGTAAGAGAGCTGGTTTTCTGAAGATAACATTTTTTTCAGTTCTGTTTAGAGGTTTGGTCAATCTTACCTGTAGATGACTTCGGCCACCAGGTTGGGTGGGAGCCCACAGATAAAAGGACATTGGAGTATGTTATGGTAAAAACCATCAGTACCACACCCAGCTCAAGAATGTGAAATTGAACATGAAAAAAACTTTGAACCTAGAATTTTATGTTCTGAAAATAGTTATTCTAATGTGAGGGCATTAATACGAATATGTACCATCAAGGCTTCAGAAGATTTTCCTATACAAACTAAAACCGCTTTTGGAGAAAGTACCCAAATAAAAAGAGAAACAAATCCAGGAGATGCTGTAAGAGATTTGAAAGAAAGGTAATCAAATACTCAGAAAAAGTTTGTGGATGACTGAAAAAGGATAAATAAAAAGCAAGGCTAAAGAAAATCATTATACCCATTAATAATAAATCTTTAGTAATCTATAAGGGGAAGAATGCTTTTCAACCTTATGCACTAGAAACATGCTCTTTAAAATTAATGCAACAGGATGATGACTTGATGTAGAAAATATATGTGGAATTATAGATTAAAATGTAATTGAAATATATTTAGAAAATGTAAGTGATTGTCTTCCTGACCCTACTCCTTTTAGGAAGAACTTCTTAAACTGGAAGCAGAAAAAAAAAACATAGAAGATAACTATAAAAGAAAATAAGTTACGCTATATTATAAATTCTTAATTTAGAAATTGTGCATCCGTGGTTAGGCATTGTGTCTCATACCTGTAATCCCAGCACTTTGGGAGTCAGAGGCAGAAGGATTACTTGAGCCACTTGAGCCCAGGAGTTCGAGACGGACCTGGGCAAAATAGGGAGACTCCGTTTCCACACACACACACACACAAAATAGACTCCGTTACACACACACACGCACAAAATAGGGAGACTCTGTTACACACACACACACACACACACAAAATAGGGAGACTCCATTACACACAAAATAGGGAGACTCCGTTACACACACACACACACACACACATTGTGTCCATCAACTTGGGAGGATGAGGTGGGAAGATTGCTTGAACCCAGGAGTTCAAGTCCAACTTGGGCAACATAGGGAGACCTTGTCTCTAAAAAAAAATAAAGCCAAACTACACACTGTGAAGTGATATCTGCAACATTTATAACCAGTAATAGCTTAGTATAAAGAATGTATACAGAAATTCTACAAACCAGCAAAAAAGGACAGTGTCACAGAAAAATAGGCAGAAGACTGAACCAGGCCTTCCACACAGTTAGAAGTGCATATTGGCCAATAAGCATATTAAGAGGATTTTCATCTCTCAATCAGGAAAATGTAAATCAAGATGACAATGACATGTTCAAATTCATTTGATTGGCAAAAATGAAACAAGTCAAGTTTTGGAGAGGGTTTTAGTTAATAGGATCACTCACATATTGCTGATGGGTGTGGGGTTATCAATTGGTATATCTACTGTGAAAAACTGTTAACTAGAAAAGTTGGGCCAAGCCCAGTGGCTCATGCCTCTTCTTTGGGAGGCTGAGGTAGGAGGATCACTTGAGCCCAAGAGTTCAAGATCAGCTTGGGCAACACAGGGAGACCACATCTGTATAAAATCTTTTTAATTAGCTGGGCATGGTGGTGCATGCCTGTGGTCCTAGCTACTTTGGAAGCTGAGGTGGGAGGATTGCTTAAGCCCAGGAGGTTGAGGCTGCAGTGAATCATGATTGTGCCACTGCACTCTATCCTGGGTCACAGAGTAAGATTATATCTTAAAAAAAAAAAGTGTATACCCATGGGTCAGCTATTTCACTTCTCAGTATATGCTTGAGAAATGCTTGCACAAAGTCCCCCAGATCACACATATAAGAATGTTCTGGAATAAATTAAAACGTCCATTTGTAGGAAGGTGTAATGTGTTCACAGAATGAATGACGATTACATGGCAGCAAAATGAATGAATACCAGCTACTTGCAGCACAATAACTCAGAATGAAAAAGCAATTCTGAGAAAACGATATATAACATACTTTTCTCATAAAAGTCAAGAACAACTAAAACTGAACAGCTGTTTAGGCGTTGTCATACGTGACAAAACTTTTAAAAAGTAGTAATAAAGTTCAAGATAGTGTTACCTCTGGGTGTGGGAGAGGTAGAGGAGGAACAAATCTATGAGTAAGTCACTGGTAGCGTTTTAGTCCGTGGGTGAGGTGGTGGGTTTTGGGGTCGTTCATTTGTCATTAAAAGTAAGTACATGAGCTGGGTGTAGTGCTGGGTGCCTATAGTCCCAGCTACTTGGGAGTCTGAGGTGGGAAGATCCCTTGAGGCCAGGAGTTCAAGGCTGTAGTATGCTATGATTTCACCTGTGATAGCTACTATATTCCAACCTGGGCAACGTAGTGAGACCATGCCCGTCTCTAAAAAAAATTCAAAAATAAAATAAGTGCATGACGAATAAGAGAGTTATGCATGGAACATCGGTGGTTAATTATGAATCAAGCATTATTATTAGCCCAGTTATATGTGCCTTCATTCCAAAACAAAAAATAAAAGGTAACAAGATTGTTGATGAATTGGATTTGAGAGAGAGGAAAGAATTGAGGTCTGAATCTTAGGCTTTTGACTTGAACTATTGCAGTTTATTGAGAAGGGGAAATACATGGTGGGGGAAAGTTTGGGTACGTGCATAACAGAGACGGAAATTCAGAGTTTGACACATCAAGTGTGAGGTGCCCTCTGAGCATCAAAGTTGATATGTTAAGTAGGTATTGGATATACAAGTCTAAATTCAGTAAGGTCAGTCCAGGAGATAATCTGAGGAGTAGTTAGCCATGGGATCAGATGGGTGCTTTAGAGACACTTTGGAGATGAAGTACAGCACTGAGCCCTGAGTTCCTATGGCCGAGAAGAAGCCTGCAAAGATGAAAGGAGGAGCTGTTAGGAAGAGCAAGGCAACAGAAAAGGAAGAACCAGCATGCTGATTATGTTCAGGAGAGTGTTTCTACACTGAATTTAATTGCCAAGATTACTAATTCTAAAGAAGAGGAAGACTCTTGGACAAGTTTTTAGAAATTTGTTTGGAGCTGGGGTGAGAGCCTGGCCTAATGGAGACAGCTCTGGATTGGGAGTCACTCAGACCTACATTCTGGTCTAGGTTTGGCTCCCAAAAACGGAAGGTCAGGTAGGTCGCCACTCCTCTTTTTTCATGGTTTCTCTCAGCTTGATGACAATTTACAGTCTTTGACTAAGCATCCACACTGGAAGAACAAGATTTGGTTTCTGAACATTGGGTCTTAGTCCTTAAAATAACTTGCAACCTGTTACCTCTTCACTTCCTCCCATCGCCACCACAAGAATTCTGTGTGTTTGTTTTGTGCATCCAGAGCCTAAAATGGGTCTGCTTTTGTTCAAAGGCTTTTGTTTTCAAAGGTTTTTGTTGTTGCATTTTTCCCTAGATAAAATGTTTTTCCTATAAGACACTGCTTAAGAGAGTCCAATGCTATATGAATTTGTATTTGTGTTTAACTTTTGTGCTTAACAAATCTGCTATGGCTGAATTCTCAGTTGCTTAAGCAAAATTCTGAGTCTTATTCTACGTTCCTTTATTTGTCATTGTCACTCCTAATCTAGTTGTCAGCAAATTCCATCAGCTGTCTCAGAGACATCTTGAATCTGTCCACTTCCCTCCATGTCCACTGCTACCACTCTGTCCAAGCTATTATCATCTTTTACCTGAACTCCTGCACTAATGTCTGCTGTCCTTGCATCCACTCCTGCCCTCCTACAATCACTGACGGCAGCCACAGGGATCTTTATAAAATGAAAACCAGATAATGTCACTTCCCTGCTTAAAGCCCTTTTAGTGGCTTCCCATTGCATTTAGAAAAAAAAAAAAGCAAACTGGCCGGGGACAGTGGCTCATGCCTGTAATTGCAGCACTTTGGCCGAGCGGGCGGATCCCCTGAGGTTGGGAGTTCGAGACCAGCGTGAGCAACATGGAGAAACCCTGTCTCTACTAAAAACACAAAATTAGCCAGGCGTGATGGCACATGCCTGTAATCCCAGCTACTTGAGGGGCTGAGGCAAGAGAATCACTTGAACCCGGGAGGCAGAGGTTGTGGTGAGTAGAGATCACACCATTGCATTCCACCTGGGCAAAAAGAGTGAAACTCCGTCTCAAAAAAAAAAAGAAAAAGAAAAAAGAAAACCCAAACTCAGTAGAGTCAAGTTTTCATAGTGGTAGTTGTTAACAGAGAAATAACAATGAAAATCAGCTTTTAAAAACTTCAAGAAAATTTGCAAAACTAAAAAAAAAAAATGTAGAAGAGGAGTAAACTTGCTAAAATATTAGAAGAATTGAAACCCTTCCTAAAGGCAGCTTCTCAAGGGAGCACAAGTTCACACACAGTTTACTTCTGGAGGAACGTCAGAGGTCATGAGGATTAGATTCTAGAGCTACAGGTCTCAGGGACAGTCTCAAGAGGGATACAGGGACCCCATCACCACATCCCCAGACTTAACCACAGCAGCTCAGCTTTTATCTGTTTATTGGAGCTCTCTAGGAAATGTCAATACCAAAGCAAACCGAAACCACAACTAAACTAGATTACTATTCAAGAGGATGATTCTCTACCGAATCTGCAAAATGGGGATATCGAGAGTTGGAAAATGTAAGAGACGTGAAGACCGTAATCAGGGAAATACGCATCATATTTGTTATTCACTGAGAGGGAGGAATTTCCCATTTCCACCAGCTGGATTGTGCTCTTAGCGGAGTGCTCTGGACTCTGATTAATAGATTTTCTAGTCCTCCCAACAACTTTCTTCTCAATTCTCTTCACTTTCCGCAGATCTCCGCACCAAGGTTGCATCTTGTGGGCTCCATTGTGTTTTCATACAATGTGCTGTTTATCCTTGACGGTGTTTTGGTTTATTTTTCTGTTTGTCCATCTTGGTTTTAAACAACTGCCAGCATTTAAAAATGAGGAAATCTAAAATCTGCATATCAAGCTGCTCTTTTAAAATGTGCTGTTTTGACAACACTGAGCCCACATTCTTGAATGACAACACTTGGGTGAAGTTGAGTGACTCTACCTGTCGGGTGGCTACACCCTTGCTCAGGGTATGCACTCCTGGGTTTGCTCTATGGCCCACCACCCTGGATTGTCTCACTAACACCAAGGTTAAGGGACGTACTTGACTCACTTATCCGGCAGGCCTTGGAAGTATTTCAGTTTGGAACCCCAATTCTGACCTTAGCTTCTCAGGCCATTAAATGAAATCTCATGTCTAGTATGCTTCCTGTCACACCACTGTGCTGCT